AGCCCCCCCCCCCCCCCCCCTCCCCTGTTCCATGGAGAGAGAGAGGGAGGGATATTAAGCTCGAGGCATATCAGCAGAAGAAAAGGCCAATTACAGAAGAAAACGTGGGCGTGATATTAAGCTCGAGGCACATCAGCAGCTTGTGATGCTTCGTGATAACTTACGTTGTACCCAGATAGGCATAATTGTACAACATATACATGTAGATGCGAAAGTGAGAACACGGTGCTTGAGCAAGTAAAGTGAAAAGGAAGCTTCTCTTCCAAATAGCACTTTATATTTTAGTGTCTCTCCCCTCCCCATAAAGCAAGGCAGGAGGTGCGTGATTCTTTAACAGTGCATAAAACTCCGAAGACATGAACATTAAAAATTGATTCTAGTTAACGATTAAGTTCAGTTGGCAATGGATTTTGCTCGCCGATAGAGCATACAATAGGGGATTTCAAAACATATGTATGTTCTGTTCAAGGCTTCCATTTCCACAGAATTCAAGTACCCATGAATTCATGGAAGAAAAACAGAAAAGAAAGAAATGTAGGATCCAAATACTATACATCGCACGTTTTCCAAAACAAAAGGGCTAGTAAATTTAAAATTTGTAACGAGATAAATTGCTAGGATAAACAAATGAGATATCAAAAGAAGCTCTTAAGAAAGGAAAAAAAAAAAAAAAACCAACAAAGTGAAAACACATGCTTCTTACATCTTCACAAGCAACGAATGGAATAGCTACCTTAGCAAGACATCCTTGAATCTGAAGCAAAAGCATTCACCTTGTCTGTACACTCTAGCAGTCGCTAGCATCTTCATCAAAAACCACGAGCAAAAAGTTTCTCCTTTGGAGATCTGACTGACCTACTTGCAGAAACTCATGAATTACCACGGTCCTAACCCATCTGACTCTTCCTCCGTGGAGACAGGAAGATTAAGATCGATTAGCCCCCGAGTGGATATCTCAGGCACATCTTGCTCAATCACCACAGGTCTAACCCTGGCCGCTCCAATAAAATGGGACCTCTTATGACCACCCAAAGCTTGACCTGATCGGAAAACCTTGGGACAGAAAGGACATTCGTGTACTTTCTCTATTTTCAACCCCAATTTTTTCTCTGCTTTTCCAGAAGAACTCTTCTCAATTGGAGTTTTTCCACTTCTAGATTGAATCATCTTACTACTATTAGCAATTGGATTAGGGACATAGTCAGTATCTACGCTATTCTCCCCACTCTCATATATTGAATCACTACAGCCATTAATCCTGTTATGGATGGTTCTGCGTCCCCCGAGAGAAACACATTTGCTGCCCCTGTTTCGAACACTGCTGCTTTTATATTCGCATGACTCATTCTTGCATCCCTTTTGCGAATCCATCAAAGCTCTATCACCTTGATTATATACATCATCCACGATGAAATCCTTCCCCAATTGAGTTCTAATATGCCTTGACATGCTTAATCTTTTCCCTGATTCAGCATCCAACTCATCATCATAACTAAACACAGAATCCACTTCTTGCTTCTTGAATTCACCATTCCTAGCAAACCCATGAACAGAAACATCTGATCCAACCTTCTTGGGACCGTTCCTAAAGTACCCGGAATCAGAATTCTCAGACTGATCATTCTCAGAAGAATTTACCCCCCTTTGCGTTGCTTTCTTCATCTCCAGTGACTCGATACCGCTGGACACGAAATTAATACCGTCATTTACATTAATCCTCATTTTCATAGATGATGATTTACCCTCTAAAACCACGGAATTGTTATCTGAAGAATCTGCAACTGAACTAAAACAACCTTTAAAACCAGAATCCTTGGACAACATCATCAAAGATTTAGCCACTTCCTCTTGTTCTTGCTCTATATCAGAAGTAGAAGATAAAGAAGCAGTATTTGTCAAAGATAATGAAGAAGTGTAAACATCAATAGCCTTGTACCTCATTCTTTTGGATCTCCTTCGCTCCATCGGATCAGTTGTCTCACTATCTGACTGCTTGTCCATGGTTATTCCTTTCAACTTCATAGTAGCCCCCGACTGGTCTTGAAAGAAGTTCTTAGAGTGACAAGCCATGTGACCACAAAGTGCTTTCAGTGATTGAAACCCCTTGCCACATTCCTTACACAGCTTTTCTGGCAGTGAAGTAGTCTTGCTGGAATCCAACACAAACCTGGTTGTTTTCTTAGGATTCTCTCTAAGAGCATAACCAAACTGACCACCAGCTTCAGACACAGAGATTTGCTTACTTTTGTTTTCGGTCGTGCTCATCTTAACCTTAGCATCTTCATCAGTTGAGCAAGTTCCATTAGCATTCAAATGGATCCTAATATGACCACCCAAGGACTTGCCACAGGGATATCTTTTGTTGCAATACTTGCAAACAAAGTTGTTCTTTTGATTGGTTTCCATTGATTGATCTAATCAAATTAACACGGTCAGAAGAACAAAATCAACAGCACAAATGTTACCTCGATCGCTGCATTTCAAGAAAGATAGGCACCCATTTGGTGAAAAAACGGAACCAGGACGGAGTCAAACCCAGATCAGGTAGCAGATAGAACAGATCACGAAGTTCGCTGCTTTGGCACTGGTGATTGATCTAGAGAATCAAAAAGAGTGGAGAGATGTGACGGTCTTGTTAAAGTACAAAGATCAGACCCTCTAAAAGAAAAGGCCATACAAATCCCCTTTCTCAAGTACACACATTAGACCTCTATAGAGAATTTAATGGGGGTGTTTTAATGCCAAACAAAAATCAAAGCTTTAATGAAGAAATATAAGTCGAAAATAATGGGCGATGAGCAAGCTTTCTCCATGTTTAAGAACAATCAAAGCACAACACAACCATGGCTCTTTCTCTTTTCTCTCTCTAAAATAGACATACTCTAGCCCCCCCTCTCTCTTATTTGTTTTTGTGATATTGTTGGAGGAGAATTCCATGCATGGAAGCAAAATATTGAATAGGGAAGAAAAGATAGGCAGCACGTGTACTCGAGTGAGAACCTTTCTGTGTGGAGACTGAACGGCCAAGATTAACTGGGCTTTTGAGGATCCCAAGGAATGAGGGTTTTAGTAGATACTACATTAACAACCAGCAACACTCTGACTGCACAGCCACAGCAGCATCAGACTCTTTATATCCCTTGTTTTGTCTTTGCTATATAAGCTCATGCGAGTGAAGGGTCAGAATCTCTCCAACCGTTACCTTATTGCTCTTCCTTCAGCTTCCCTCATTTATTTTTGACCCTTTTCACATCATATGCAAACGCAGCTACAATTTCTTTTTCTAATCTAATCTGATCTCGTGCTCATAATTCGGAGCTTCTTGCTTCAAAATAATGTTGTTGCATCGTATAGGCATCCATGGACCGCTTGTCCTATTAACCTAACCTCTACTTTCCAGGATCATTTATGCTTGAAATATCCCCCTTCTTAAGGAAAAATGCATCGGTAAAAAGTGGGGTATTGGATTTTCATATCAATCATCTAATATAGGACACATCTGCAACACCCATTTGAAAACGGCTAAAAAATCGAAAATCCACTCCTGCTGTTTATGTGCCCATCTCTATTTATTTGGCAATTCCAAGATTTCACAATTCATTCATATTTAGTACTATTGTTTTTCTTCTCTCTTTTTTCAATAACTAAGAAAGAGGAAAAGCTATTCATTCGATTCCCGTGATTACTTCACAAATTACCTTACTTGCGTTGTGAAAGGGCTGCCTGATTCATTGCCTGAACATGACTAGGGCCTAGATAATTTCATGGGATTTTATAATTTAAGTCATTTTCCTGCCCAACAAAATAGAGATGTTTCTTGATATAGCCATGGGGATGGTTGCTTTGATCAAGTCAAACCATCTTTGTAACGATCTTCTTGTCATATGCACGCAGATCATTGTTTTTTTTTCACCTTGTTGCTTACCTTTTGATGTAATGCATCTTCCTTAGCTTGTCCCGTTCCTTTCGGAGATTTAAATTGACCCGGTCGTTTCGTTTTTTTTGCTCTCCTTCCAATAGCCAAGAAATTATTTGAGGAAACAAATTTTAGCAGCTCCGGATATTGATGATGATAACTTCTATCTACCACCAGAAACGTGTTAAAAATTTCCACAGTAACTTCCCAAGATGACATCATAGTCAGAGCAAAGAGGAAACAAGTATTTTATGTTTTGAGCCAAAAAAGAAAAAGAAAGCGAGTAGGGAAGAAGGGTCCCTTGAGTTAAATTGCAGGCAACGTGATACCACCAGTTAGAGATTGAGCTTGCTCTACTGGAATAGTTGTAACTAGTCTTTTTTGACCCGCATTTCCCTGCGGCTTCAACTATTTTTCTTAAACTCAAAATTAAATAATGTCAAGATTGCAGGATTTGTTTTTTTGAAGTATCATTAAACCTGGTAAATTGAATGATCCATAATAAAGTGAATTTGGATTTAAAAAAAGATAAAGATTATAAAAAGCTCTTTTAAGACAAATTGAAATGAATTAATCCTACACAAAGAAAGACAGAAAATATCATAAATATCGAAATAAATTAAATACTTGTAAAATATTTAAGTATTGTGTTTTTTTTTAAAACAACAACAATTAGATATTAGATTAATTCAGGTTTCATGGTTTAACTTGTTAATTCTATAATCCGAGTTATGAAAACTAATAAGTTTAAATTTTTTTCTTTTTAATTTTTTCCCTTACTAATAGGATAAAAAACAGAAAAAATAATTATTTTTAAAAAATCTAAAGGATAAACAAGAAGAAAATAAATTAAATGAGCAAAATGTCTACAAACTAATTTTTTAAAAAAAAAACATTGATATAGTGTTATACTAAAGTAGCTCGAGTCAATCCATGATATCTTTCTACATCCGCAACTTAGATAACGAAATTATAATAATCACGTAAAAATAAATTTTAAACAAATCAATAACAAAAAAACAAATAAAATTATGAAAGTTAAATTCAAAGTAAAGAAAATGCTTAAAAAAAATCAATCTAACATATCTTAAAAAATATCCAAACAAAAAATATTGAATTGATCAAACTATATGTATTAACTTGTCAAATTTGTAATATAGTCATGATCGTAATTGGATTTAATGATTTTTTTTTATTAAGTTTACTTTTTACCTAAATATAAAATAACAATTTTTTTTTTAAAAAAAGCAAAACAAAAAAGCCCAGCGTGCCCGAGTCTTCTAAAAAGAGAGCCCCGATACATGGGCCTTTTAGCTTTTAGCCCAGCGTGCATGTCTGAACCTTTTTTATATATATTTTAAAGCTACGAACAATTATTGCCACTCTTATTAAAAAAAAATATAATTATTTGTTGTTTGCATAATTGAGTGATTAAGACTTTAATTTTTTTTATTAAAAAAACTATTTTTCAACTATACACACCTATACAACACTTTGCATATTTTGATGAATTTATTAATGACTTCAAATAACCTAAAAAACAAGTAAAAAATCCAAAATCAAACAAATTCTAAAAAGTTTTTAGTGGAAAGATCTACCTTCTTAAAAAAAGAAAAGAACTAGAGGTTATACTTAGATAAAACTTTTCTCATTAAATGAAATCCATTAACATTAAAATTAATTGTTTTTATGGTTAAAATTAACATAAACAAGTATTTTCTATCTCTATATCAAAACATGGCGATTCTCTGTTCCTCCTAACAAAAAAAATATTGAAAATGAGAGGAAAAAAATTTAACAGCAAAATTGATTTTTTAACAACTAAAAAGATCAATTACCTAATAATTACAAAGAAAAGGAACTAAACCAAGTTTTTTTATATGAAATTCAAAATTACGATCAATTTTCTCCCTTTTATTTTCCTTTCATTTTAATTTTATATCTTTCAATTATATCCTGTTATTTAGTAAATATTCAAGCTCACAAGAAGTGATGCGTCTTTTCCCCTCGTTGTAAACAAAAGTTATTGCCTTGTAATATTCACTAAAAATAACAAAAATTATTTTTATTGTAGTTGACCCACGAGTTAAAAAACTAGAAAATTTCGCTGCCACTAGAAGCCTTCACTTTAAACATATATAAGAAAACTACCGGCAGCATTATTAGTTCATAGCTTACGACTATTGTAGTTTGATGGATAAAGATGCCTCCTCAAAGCGGTGTTTATTTGTGCGACTGGATTGTATATTTTTAATTTTCAATTATTTTAAAAATGTTTTAATATGTTGATATAGAAAAAAATTATTTCAATATATTTCAATATAAAAAGCAATTTTAAAAAACATTTATAATCCAAAAATCGCTCTAAGTTGTTTGTGGTCATACGTCACCAACTTTGTACACTGTCCCACTCTTGGTTGTTTTTTGGCCTCTTTTGGTGATTTCGTGATTTCCCTTGGCATCATCCATTCCAAATTCTTTAACACAATGAACGTGCAAAGAAAATGGATCCCTCGTACCCTAATCTCCCAGACTTCATTGCGCTCACAGGAGTTCGCACGAAACCGGCAGGCTGATTTCTGGCAGCTGATTATACTATGATTGATGGATAACGTAATATAACCGAATGATGATGAAGGTGAGAGGTCCAGGTTGACTATAACTGAGGCTGAAGTTCAAATGACGTGCTGAATCATTTTTGTAAAGTATAACGCAGTTGTTAACCGGATTTGATTTGCAGCTTTGCCGTCTTATTGTGCCAACCTCAAGTCTTGGACCCTATGATTTACGCCTCGTTTGCTAGTCCTTGCAAAATCAAAACAAGCCTGGACAATGAATCCAGGGCTGCTGCGCCAAGGCTAGGACAACTGGACAAGGAACTCAAATTACTTTCAGTGCCATGCTTAAACAAGCTCAACCAGTCTGGCGCTTTAACCATGACTGAAAATATGACGAATTAAAGTTTGAGTCCTTTCCGGTGACTGGCTCGGGCAGAGGATCATGTAAGTTGTTGCGATGCAAGGTTTAATGGGTTAGAGCGACTTCAGCCCCACTTACAAAAAAGGATACAGTTCATCAATAAGTAAGAGTTGTAAGTCCTACAAAGCGGAAGGATGTAATGACTAATGTGATCCATTAATCACACAACGATTCCATTGAGAAAGGTTGATTATGAATGTACATTAAGCAAAACTAAAAACCAAAATTTTTTCCTTTTTTTTTTCTTTCAATTTCTTCTTTATACCCTATTTGGGGGAAAACTCCTACCTTCTAGAAAGTAAGAATCTTGAAAAGCATTCTTACAAAGAAAGACACCAGGATCCCGGTCTCTGCAGTGATTGCACATTTTGTACGCTAAAATGCCAGGAAACTGAGGGAGGCACTAGCTGATGCCATTGGCATCTCTTGTCTGGTTGTCACAGGTTCCGTGTCCAAAAATCTCTTCAATGATGTTACTTGTAGGAAGAAGATCAACACCCCTAATTGGACTAAAGTAACGGGCATCCCAATCTTTAGCATCACAGAGTTCCAACAAGTATACCTGATCCTCATCATCACCACATCCATCTACTTTACTGGGCAAGCATTTGCTATGGTCACTTCTATTTACATGCAAAGCAGCCCTGGTATCAACTGGACCACAAGAGTCAACTTTATCGACTTGGAACTCAAAAGACATGCAAGAGTCATCTTGAACAATGAAATCCACCCCATCTTGACCAGCATTATCGTCCATATGCTTAATAGCAGGTTCAATACTGTTCATATCAAGTGTTTCTGAGGCATAATCTATCCCAGAATCTTCTCCTGTGGTGTCTCCACTACCATCTCCCACCTCATCAGAAGCACCACCAGCATCATCATCACTGTCATCATTGATGTCATCTTCAAGAATATCCCCTCCCAGGTCTGCATGATCATATTGATCAACAGGGGACTCAAGATCAGAATCTGCATCTTCTTCTAAAACTTGAATAGAGGAGCCTCTATTGATCTGAGGCAATTCATCATCATCACTGTCAATGTCCAGTGGGTTAGATCTGTTTTGAGCAGCTCGTTTCCGAAGCATAAAGACATTGAAGTAATAGCTGACAATTTCCTTTGTGGTTCTATCAGGAAACACTTGCGCCAGGTGCTTCCAAAAATTCTGGCCCAAGGACTCTGGCCTGGAATAAACAACTTCATGGAAAACCCGTTCCTCTTCCTTGGCCCATTTACAAGACACCTCCTCTCCCATGTCATAAAACCCCAAGTTTACAAAATTTTCATGCCCAGTAGATTTTAATAATTCTTCCCGTGCTTCCAGTATGTGCTGCCGCACACATCTGACAGAGCCTTCATCCAGGCACCCACAATCAATTCTGCCACAAGCAGCCTCATACCTAGTGGACAGACACGGTTTTGTATCCGGCATTGGAATGATACAAATTCCCACCAACTTCTCTTCATTATCATTATAAATGTGATGGTCTGATTCAGACAATGAGGAACCATTTGTATTGAATGAGTCTGCTAGCTTATCCTTCTTCATATGCCCGTCCCACAATGGAATGCTGGCTTGGTGATTTGGTCCAAGAGGAACTTGTTTCCTAGGAAATTCATCCAAATAGGATGAGTAGTCATCTGCCAGAGGTATGGATGTTTTCTGTGGAAACTCAACCTCAAAATATTCAGAAGAAACAGAAGAGTAAGCTGCTGGCCAGGACTCAAAATCTTCATCACTGGAACTGCTGGTGGCTAACGACAAAGGACCACTGGAGTCAGAATCTTTAGCAAAATTTGAAACTTCAATCAAGTCATTCTCAAATGTCTCATGCCACTGAATTTTGAAAAAGTTGCTCCCATAGCCATCTGCTTTACATGAAAAGAAATATATAGCCAAATCAACCAACATATTATTTCAACATGTGAGCAAAACACCATATTTACAGTTGTAGACAAACAAGAAGTGATGTTCAAGGCCACAATTTTTACCTGCAACATCAGGTTTCTTAGGCACATTACAATGTGCACCAGTTTCTGACAATTGAGTCAACTTATTGCAACATTCCACCTGTCTTGCCTGCTTCAAAGGAAGATCCTGAAACTCTTCATCATCAAAAGGCCGTTTAAATCCCATTTAAGCCTGAAATACAAAGAGCACAAGGTTAAAGAAAAATTCAAGCGAAAAAATTGCCAAATATCTCATCCATGGGACGAACAGGGTGTGTGTGTGTGGGGGGGGGGGGGATGAAGCAATAGTTCCTTAGCTAGGAGTCCACAAAATTGAACTAAGCACAATTTCCCATATGCACGAGGATCCAGCACCGAACTCACTTGAAAAACTCAGCGGCACTATCGAGAGTCTCAGGAGATAAATAGCAAGCAAATCACCAGTAAACATGCAAGCGTATACTATCAACATAGACATGCAAAAGGACATTTGTCCACGAGTAATCAATACAGGTAGCATTTATATCAGCTTAGCTTCCAATTACTCAGAAGCATAACTTAAGAAACTCTGAAATATTACTTTCTGACATTTACTAGAAGGGACATGAACGAAATTATCAGACGCGACACAAGCATGCAAATGTAACTGTAAACATAGACAGCAGGAGCCTCATGAAAACCGTCCACACACAGACACATAGTAGCCACTGCTAGCATTGTCTTCAACAAACAAAATCAGCATAGACATGGTTAGCGTTACGTTCAATTAAGACGAGACACACGTACACGAACGGTGGTACAAAAAAAGATGGAAAAACTCATCAATACACAACTCTCCAACAATATAAAGTGAAGTATTTTGAAACAGTTGCCAATTAACAGTAATTTACCTTTACAATAACTTGTATTCAAACTTCAAAGCAGAATAGGGCAAATTGATCGTAAACGACAATTATTATGCACCAAAGATGATTTATTGATGCGTGGAGACGAACCCCTAAATCAATTTCACCGAATAGAGAGTCCTAAAAAAATTGGGAAAAACCCTAACCCTAGATTTTGAGATCACCAATAAAACCGGCAAATTACGGGAAAAACAGGGAAGATACAGAGACCCAGTAACGAAACGTGCAAAACCCCTAAGCTTATTAACAGATTCGAGCAAACCGGAAATAGATCGAAGACTTCGAAATCCCAAAACCCAAACAATTACATCAATCGACGAAATTGGACTTAAATTTTATGGGGAAATTACTGAAGAGACGAAACCGATTTAAAAAACATAAAGGATCGAGAGATTAGAGGTCCAGATGAGAAACCCTAACCCTAGAAAATTTAAAAATCACGGCTGGTATTAAAAAAGGTACTAATCGAAAGAGGATGACGCGAATTGAAAGAATTGAAGGTTGGATCTAAGTGGTAAGAAATAATTTGAGAAAAATCGGAGATCGATTTTTGGATTTAATTACGTTAAAGAGACGATGAAAAAAGAGGATTTTTTAAAAGGTACGTGAGTCCCGTACACGACGCGGTCCGATATGCTAACCGGTTTAAATTTGATCATGAGCTGGCTCCTAATATAAGCTAGACCGGTCCGGAAGTAGCGAAATTACATCAAGGTCCTTTCATTGCCTGGATTCATTTTATTGTTTTTAACGTCGAGTTATATGGTTGGTCTGGCTTAATTTTCTCTCTTTTCCATTAAAATCAAAATTTGAAATTCTCCTTGATTTGATTTTTTTGAGGAGTAAATCTTGAATGGGCATAATCCTTTTTTTTCCCTTCATTTATTTATTTATTTATTTTTATATCAGTGTTTCGTTTTTATTAATCGAAAATGTAGTGGGAATAGAATTCCAATTCCATTCCAAATAAAGTACAATTTTAAATTGAAGTTATTAATTTTATATTTTCTAATTCAATCTATTAACTATATGATGAAGCAATATATCTCACCGAAGATAAAATCTCTCATTTTCTTTTTAAAAAAAAGATTTGTAATATCTCACCTAAGATAAAATCACCCCATTTTACTTTTAAAAATATACCTATTTTATATTAAATTAGTTGCGTGCGGTGCATTTTGCTTTCCATCTTAATTGCTAGATTGTTTGTAAATAATTTTTTTTCTTTTTGCATTTTTAAAATATTTTTAAAATTTTATTTTATTTATTTATTTTAAATTAATATATTTTTAGTATTTTCAAATTATTTTTATATAATAATATTAAAAATAATTTTTAAAAAATATAAAAACTATTGATATATATTTCAATACAAAAAATCATTTAAAAAATAATCATAACTACAATCTCAAACTAACTATAAATACTATTTTTATTTGAACATATCAGTAATTTATATATACACGCATATCATGACATTATCTACCGATTTTTAATTATTTTTTCAAACTGTCCAAAAGAAAAATGGTAGCGTTTTGCATTTTTATATTTGGGATTTTTTTCCCAAATAATATTACTTATTTCATACTTAATATGATTTAATTAAAAGATATAATATATTAAATCTTCATGAAAGATTTTAAAAATATATAAAAAACAACTAGTAGCATTCTAGTAATTATTTTTCAATATTCATTTTAAAAAAATAGATAGAAAAGAGTATAAGAGAGAATAAAATGACATTAAAAGTGATAAAAATAATTTTAGTTAAAATTTCTAGAGAATAAGATCACATTAAAAGTGATAAAAATAATTTTAGTTAAAATTTATCTATTATACTAGTATTTATTTATTTTTTTAAAATGCGAGCTAAAAAATAGATTTGATGAATATTTATTTATCTATTGAGCACTTATTTCTCGTTATTTATTGATCATAAAATTACCAGCTTAAATGATATATATCTTTCTTATTTTTGTATTTAACAAAATATATGCCGTGCTCATCTTCATTTGAACCTTGCAATAAGAAACTTCGTTTTTTAAAAAAGCAAGTATGTTATGAGAAATTCTTATTTGGTATGTATTCTTTGCTAACTTCTTTTTTTTTTTAATGTCGCTTTTTGAAACCATGTTGATGTATTTGCAAAGAAAAAAGAAGTCAATTTCTAGACATTTTCTTGGATGAAAATCTTCAATACTCTTTTAAGAGTATCATCATTTGTATTTCATCCACATGAATTGTTTTGCATGAACTAGTTAACAATCGCATTAAATTAATTTCTATGCTAAACAAAACGAAGACATTCTCGGTTGTGGAGAGTTTGCAAGTCTGAGTTTGGAGCCTCCATGGTAGGCTACGTGCTGATTTTGCTACTCTGTGTGGAGTATCTGTTGGTTATCATGAAAGCGAGTTCCATCTCCTTGCTCTGTTTCAAGGCTCGTCAAATCTTGATGCAGTCTCATTGACCACTTACCATTGAATAATTTGTTGGCGTCTCTAAAGAGTTTGAAGCAGATTCATGTTCCGAAGGAAAAGTGAGAGCAGAGCAGTACAAGGAGATTGTACTGAAGTATTTTTACAGGAGATATGACCTAGGTGAATTGTGATAAGCTTTTAGGGGAAAAGGGAAGCTGAGAAGGCTCCAAAAAGTACAACCTTTTGCTTCCTGTTTTATTAAAGAACATCTTATCCCTGGCAAAATAATAATCAATTAAAGGCTACAGTATAGTATTTATGAAAAAAAGAACTCCCAGTTTCATTTAAAAAGGAGATCAGGGCCGGCATGTGACAAAGCTTAAGAGTTATAAAAGACATTAGTTTTTCTTTATTCACGTGGGCAAATTCTTCAAAAACTTGAAAATCACATTAGTACGGCATCCTAGTTAACTCACCTTGTTGCATTCACCTCGGTCAACGGACAAAATACCGCAGGTTAATGACAATGTCGGATCCTACATTCTTCTACTGACAAAAGCATTACGTGATGCCCCCAACAGACTGATACTGTATATATATAGGAGACAGGATAGCTGGAAAGAGTGCTAAAATTTCCAGATGTTCTGATTTATTACATTAAACCAATGAGAACAGATAAAAATTTGCTACCAACAAAAGATATCCCAACACAAGGGTGCCAGGGAACCCATCCATCACATAGTCAGAAACAATCGAATCCCAGAACTATAATAATATTTATGGCTAAAAGCAGAAAAAATAAAAAATATACGATGAGGGGTCTCGCAATTTGTGATTCCACTACAACCTGCCCCGAGTCGCTTCAAAGCATGCAGGTCTTATGCCACAGCAGGCATGTCCTTCAGCCAGGCATCCAATGGCTTACCAGTGGAGTAAACAATAAAGCCAATTTGCCTCAGCTTATCAACATCCACTACATTACGCCCATCAAAAACAAAAGCAGGCTTCTGCATATCATCATAGATCTTCTGGTAATCAAGAGTTTTGAACTCATCCCACTCGGTTAATATGCAGATCCCATGAGCACCCTTTGCTGCCTCATAAGCATCCCATACACACGAAACTTGCTTGATAGCCGTGGGACTCGCTGGCTGAAGATGAGGAGGCCTATCCAATTCAGATTTGTGCATTGAGAGATCCCTTTGAATCTGTTCCTGTGAAACCTGAGGGTCATATATGCTCAATATAGCCTTGTCACCCAACAAGCCCTGGCAAACACCTATGGCTGGGGTCTCCCTTGTATCACCTGTGTCTTTCTTGAAAGCAAATCCTAAAATTGCAATTTTCTTACCTGAGACTGTGTTGAACATGGAGGAAACCATCCGGTTCACAAAACGTGTTTTTTGGTACTCATTCACCTGAACAACCTGTTTCCAGTAGCTTGCAACCTCGGGGAGGCCATTGCACTCACAAATGTAGACCAGGTTCAGGATATCCTTCTGGAAACACGATCCACCAAAACCCACACTTGCATTCAAGAACTTAGGCCCAATCCTTGTGTCCTTGCCAATAGCATGTGACACTTGGGAGACATCTGCACCAGTGGCTTCACATAGTGCCGACATGGCATTAACAGAAGAGATCCTTTGTGCCAAAAAGGCATTTGCAGCAAGTTTAGACAGTTCAGCAGACCAGAGATTGGTGCATATGATCCGATCCACAGGAACCCAATGGGCATAAACATCTTTCAATGCTTGAATTGCCTTTTGCCCTTCTGGGGTCTCCCTGCCACCAATAAGGACTCGGTCTGGTTTGAAAAGGTCCTGGATTGCAGTTCCCTCAGCAAGAAATTCTGGGTTGGAGAGAATCTGAAAGTTGATGCCTTTGCTGTTGTGGGTCAAAATCTTTTCTATCGCTTCTGCCGTTTTCACTGGAACTGTTGATTTCTCAACAACAATTTTGTCAGATTTTGAAACATCTGCAATCATACGAGCAGCACTCTCCCAATAAGTTAGATCAGCTGCTTTGCCAGCTCCAAGTCCCTGAGTTTTGGTTGGTGTATTTACTGATACAAAGACTATATCAGCTTCTGCCACATGCTTTTCCACATCTTTGCTAAAGAAGAGGTTCTCTCCCCTGCACTGTTTTACCACATCATCAAGTCCTGGTTCATAAATGGGAAGATGGTCACTATTCCAGGCAATAATTCTCGGCTCAAAAATATCAACAACCACTACTTCAATGTCTGGGCACTTCAGTGCAATCACGGCCATGGTAGGCCCACCAACATAGCCAGCTCCAATGCAACAGATCTTCACCATATCTATACGTAATGTAATAGATAGCCTAAAAATAGAATTAAAATCACAATTCAGTGGAAGTGCACAATCACTTTTGCCTGATGATACAGGTAAGAGATCCTGGATACAAATTCTTCCTCAAATCTACAATCAACTATTCAGTTAGAAAACTCAATGAGTACACATGAACTTGGAAAACTAAAATCTTCATCCCATAACTCGGATCACACTATGACATGCTTTAGCATGCAATTAACATTCAGTTTGTTTCAATTTTAACAAGCTAGACTAATAACATGACTTACCTCATAGAGACATGGTGATTATAGACTCCATTACCTTAAAAATCACAGATCCAATGTTGCACTATAAAGCAAGAATTAAAAGTTTACGAATTTAGAGAAACCGGACAACTAAGTCCAAAGTCTCCAATCTCTTCCTTCGAGTGTCAGGAATCAAAATTACGACAACCATTTTCAGATCTGGAGCAGGCATAGACCAGTCATCCCGTGAACAAAGATAAAAGCATAACAGATCCACCCATCATCAAACAGAACTGTGTGCTATACCAAAAACCAATGCCCATGAGCCAAAAAGAAACATGCACAAAGCAAGCAAGATACCAGATAAAGGTCAGAGTGAAACTAAAACGGTTACCTTTGTAATCTTCTGGTTCTCTAAGTGAAATGGGGCATGGGAGAGGTATAGACTAAGAAGAAACGGGAAATGCAGAGTAAGAGACAGAGAGGGAAAGCAAAGGCGGGAGCTCCTTCCGCCGAAGAACGAGGTACGTGTAGAGGCTTGAGTTTACCTTGTATTTATTGTACTACTTCAATATCTGTTTCCATGATGACGAAAAAAAGCACTGACACGTTTCTACTTTAGATTTCTCCCATTGCACTTTAGCCACCTAGTTTTGCTCTAATTTATGTATCAATTATGAAAGCACAAGAAACCAAAAACAAAAATTCAAGAGAGTGCTTTCTACGATTTACTGTATCTTTTCTTCTTCTTCTTCTTTTTTCTTTTTTATGGTCACACTTTCAAAACGTAAATGTCACTCATAGTTATTATAAAAAAAGAAGTGAAATTGTGTATTATATATATATATATAATACAAGAAAAATAATTGTATAAATTCTATTTCAAGCGAGGTATACTTTACACCCCCATCATTCTATTGAGGCACCGACAGGGCGATCTGTATTGGTAAAAGTTGCCGTCGCTTCTACCGGCACGTGAGAATTAATTATTTTTTCTTTTTTTAGAGAGATATGACAACTTGATATAAATTCGACATCTGGTCTTCTTAAATATATTTTCTAGAGGTTACTGTGTGGATGAATCTTATGCATCTTCTTAAATATATTCATGGACTAAGGGAGTATACAGCAAAGCTCGTTTTCGTAGTTACTGTAAAGTTTAGTGTATGGATGTGCTCACACACGCATAAGCTCGTCTCGTAGACTTTATACACACATATTATCCTTGTATTACACTTACTATTTCAACAAATATATAAACGACAAACTCTAGCAATCAAATGATAAGCTTTTTTTCAACAAAACCATTTCGATTTCGAGCTTTTTTATGTAATTATATATATTTTTATCAATATGTATGAAAATATATACATACTGATAAATAATCTAAAATACAAAGAAAAATTCAGAACATATATACCTGCACTAAAGATAGAAAAGAATGTTAATTAGACAACGTATCCTGTAGCAACTTTTTTTTTTTTTTTGCCCCTCTCTTTGATGGTGGCTCGAGGGGACTAGCCAACAAGTCGTGGTGGGAGAGATTGGTGGGTCTATATGGAACCGAATGGTCATGAGTAGGAGTAAGATGGAAGCCACTTTAGGAAATATAAGATGGCGTTTAGGAGATCCAGATCGGAAGGTAAGAGGCTGCCATGACCACCACCATAAACTCATGCACAGTGTGTTCGAATGCACATACTTTTTTCTAATGCATTATTATTCTAAACGTGAAAGACACTACAATTTAAATTAACTGAGAAGTGACAGAGACGAGCAGCAATGGACAGAAAAGGGTTGGTCGTTGTTCAAGGAACTTGTCTAGGGAATTCAAGGTTAGGAATTTATACGAACCCAGATGTGCCATGTGCCATGCATGTGGCTGATAATTTTGACAAACAAAATAGATGGAAAGACACATTAGAAAATAGAGACAAATAAAAAATAATAATTGATTAATATTATTGTACAAGGTATGACTGAATGTGTGTGTGTGTGTGTATATATATATATAATAAGAAATAAAATAAAACCATATGCAATCTCAGTTGTATCTATTTGCTCAAAAGGAAATTTGACATGTTGTCTTTAATCGATCTTTCGTTGGCTGTTTCTTTTCTTCTTCTTTTTTCCTCCACAAGTGTCAGTGAAACACCACACCTTCTTCTGATAATCTTTGCGAAATGTCAACGGCTCCATCATAATCTGATGTAAACTTGCAAGTGTCATGCTAACGAGACGTCCAAGTATACGTTATCGTTATTGACGGAAAATGGTAAAATTAATTCTTTGCTCCTCCTAATTAACAAGTTCAAGACAATGGCTGCCTTGGAGCGCCCATGTACCAACCATGATGATAAGGGTTCGGAGATGAAGTGAGAATATGCTCTAGCTTTCTGATCGCAGGCTCTCAAGGCTCCAAGCCAGATTGTGGCTTCATCTGTCTAATGTTAAGAGAAGAGAGATTTCCTTAGTTTATTTGTCTTCAAGCCAATATTCAATGGCCCGAATCTTGTGGGGTTTAGTTTCTCTTTGTGGGCTCGTTTGGACTTGTTACTTATCTTTGATTCAAAAACCATGGATTTTGACTTCAATACTATCTTACAGGCCCATCTGTGTTCATTATCTTTCAGGACCCATCTAGGATTCCGATTCAAACGGAGCCTCAAAATTTTCTTATATTTTTTTTATTTTGATTTTTTATATGAAAAGTAATTTTTTAAAAATAAAAAAATATTATTTTAATATATTTTTAAATAAAAAACATTAAAAAAAAACACATGTAACAAGAGGAAAAAAAAAAAAAAGGAAAAGAAAGAGAACCTGGAATTTAAACAATGTAGCCTTATTGAGGCTAGATGCGGGAAGGGTCTATTTATGTAATGGATTTTTGTCGGAAACCACGTGGCTCCTTTCCTTATACTATAAGGTGTTGAAATTTTTGTTTTAATGTATTTTTATATAAAAAATATTTTAAAAAATAGCTGTAATTATACTTCCAAATAAACAATAGATAAAGAGAAAATTTTGTTACTTTTTTTATAAAAGTTTTTAGTAACCGTCACTTTTTTATTTTGACATTTAAGTACGTATATTTCTTTTCTTTCTTCAAATAAGTCTATCTATTTAAGTGTCTTATCTCTATTTTCTTTTCAAATAAATACTTCTCTCATAACTTATAAAATTGTCCAAGATATATCCTTTAAATCGATACATGTCATCTTTATCGGAACCTTCAGTTAAAAAGAAAATAATAACGAAGATGTAAATATGTACTTGCACCATACATAATTTGCCTTGCTTAAATACTTTGATTGAAATGATTAAAATATACCAGCAAGATAGAGTAGCCTAAGTTCCATCCAATCAAACTGCTTGCTGCCGCGACACAAACTCTAGCAGTCGAAAATTTGCATTTCTCTGCCAGCATCGAGGAAGAAACCGTACTTAAATTGACATGTCTTATAAGTTACATAACATCTCTTTACAATATTACGCTTCAAGAAAATTTAGACGTGTAATTGTAAATCTGTGTGTGTGAGGATGTCTGCATTTGCCCATTTAAATCTTCATTTTCTCCGCTTTAACTAGAAGTCAAGAACTTTTTGAACCATTGTGCAGAATCCTTGGGGTACCTCTTCAGCTTGTCCTTGTAATCCACAAAGCAGAGCCCAAGCCTGGAAGTGTACCCAGCTGCCCACTCCCAATTATCCAGAAGAGACCATACAAAATACCCTTTCACATTGCAACCGTCTTCTCTGCGATAACAAAAACAATAGATTATTAGTTTGCTTGCAATACCATACTATCTCAGGAACATACATTTGCCGAGGCATGTAGGCGAGGGATCCATACTTAATAGAAGCTAGCAGGTTTGTCAGATAGTCATTGTGGTATCTGATCCTTTTCCTATCCTTCAGAGCATCTTTAATGGGGGTCAAGGCGTTATTTGGATCATCCATCCCTGGGAAGACCACAGAAACAGAAAGATTTATGGTTTTTCTTTCATGACAAAGCTTTATAAGGGCCTTGACATTCTTCATAATTGGAGATGAAGAAAAGAAAAGGTAGAGATCAGTTTCTATAAAATCATGACATGTCAATTGCATTCCAATTTTTAAGATAAATCGACACATCAGTTTATAGAAGAAGAGAAACACAGAGAATTCCTTTTAACAGAACCAATGATTATTCAGAAGATTACCATTTTCAGTTATAATGACGGGAGGATTCCCGTACTTTTGCCTGATGTGATTCATTAAGCTTCTCATCCCTTGAGGTACTATGTACAACCATATAGAATTCGCCTGCAGTTTTAGACAAGTGACAATGAATAGTTAGAAACACAGAACCCCAATGTGCCACCATAAATGAGAGTTGAATGTCAATGAACTTTTCTGTAACGGAGAATGAATAGACAAATTTCAATCCAGTGCAGCTGGATTGAAGAAAGAACGAAATCAGAAACAATGAACACTCATATGGTACTAGCTTGGCCCTGCATTTTCTTGCTTCTAGTTTTGAACTCGTATCATATTGTTACTTGGTTTAAATGATGGATCACAACATTTCAGTTCAGTGAGGAACATACCCGGTCTCCAATGGGCTTCTTATTTTCACCGAATGCTGAAAAGAATGAGAGCACACATATTACAACAGTTATTCACAATTTTTTTAAAAAAAAAAATTGCACTGTTGTTTCACTATCTCTACTAGGTAAAGGAAATAGTTGAAAAGAAATTATTTCGGAGGATTTTTGTTAACTCACGAAGGGTTATGGCACCAGAGTCCGCGACAGAGTCATTAAGGACTTTGTCAATTACATCGCCAAGTAGAGAGTCATTGCTTCGTGCATAAAATGTTGTGTAGTGATTGATACCAACAAAATCCAAAGACCCTTTAACGAGAGCAGCATCATTTTTGGTAAACTTTGGCAGTCTATCACCGACTCTGTTTCTCATTGAGATTGGATAGTCGCCTAAGATCAAAGGTTCAATAAACCTGGAGGAAAAGCATAATGAATCCACAAATTAACATGGAAATATTTTAGATATGTGCTACTTCTGTACCACATGAATTAAGCTTGCATGACTGAGAGTGGGCCTCAATTCTGATGCTGTTCATTAGTATATTTATTAGAACCATAACAAATCGAGGGCATGATCTGGTCAATTGACAGATCAACAGCACTCGACCACCAGAAATTAGAGAGTGATCAATTCTTAATGTTTCTGAAACAGCCAAAAGAACCATTTCTCTCTCCTGTATAAGCTATTCAGAACCAAGAAAACTAGAACACGTATATGTGATTATAGATACCAGCCAAGCTGAAAATCCTGAGCTCTTTGGGCTGCTTCGATGTCTTTCGTGCTGTTTGTTGCTGGTTCAAACCATATCACATCAAGTGATATGCCCACAGATCCTTGTTGTTTTGCCTGAAAATTTTCATGCCATAATATCATGCCGGAGCTTAGCACCAACGGAAATAGAAAAAATATATGATGAGAACACAAAATGAAAAAAATAAAGGGCAAAGGCAA